AAAGACTGTAAAAGGTTAACAAAGTATTGTCAGGAATTAAGCTACCAGATAAACAAGAAAAAAGTGAATGTTACATGTAAGTATGTAAATGAGGAGAGTGTCTCACTTACAAACCGTGATGTCACCTCAGACTATAAATAGCGTCGCTTAAGTGAAGACGGGAGAGGTGAGCTCCTGCATAGAAAGCGTTGGTATGCAAGTAGCAGTAAACGAGGTGTCCAATAGGAAATAGTCCAAGGCGATTGCAGTTTTCGATTTGTGGATCGAGGAATAGGACAAATCTTGAATCAAGAAAAAGGTTCCTAGTATACTTGAGGTGACGGTTAGGATTTATAGTTATGAGAAATTCTGTACCTTAAGTTAAGGATTGATTTTGTCGGGTTGACTTTTGGATTTTATTTCATTGAATAAATTTGTTGTTTGTTGTATATATTGTAAATAGTTATTTCTAGAATCTTTATTAAATACTTTTATTGATTTTTGACTAACTTGTCTTTAATTTATTTTGGTGCATGCGAAAAGTCCAGGTCTGGCAAACTAACAAACACGAACCCGTGTAAAGTACCCGTTAGATACTGGCTCTTTCCGGAATGAAAATCGTTGTAGAGCGATAAGTTAAAAATAGCACTTTAGTGTTTAACGTCAGAGTTGTTGTTGCAGAAACCACGACAGTTCCATTGGGTTATTTTATAATCCATTATGTGTTAGAGGCAGCATTTTTTAGTAAAGGTGTTCCTCTTTAATTTCACAGGGGGTTTTTCTTTTGGAGGTGACATTGGTTTTGCCACCTGCATATTAGTCTCTTCAGAGATATCAGAAAACTCACTCATAGAGTGAGCTTCTGATGTTTTTACATTTAGAGAGAGCTGCTTTCACTCTGTTTGTTTAGTGGGTTCTTACTAGACTTTTTATAACCCAGATTTCTTGTTATTACCTCTGTTTTAAGTAAAAGTGTTTTTGATTTTATACTCTTCTCTTCTGGTGTTTCTTTTGGTGGAATCAGTAAACATTTCACATGCCGAATGAGAGATTCCTTTGGGAATACAGAAATATCGGTTTGAACTCCAAATGTCTTTGTGAATTTCAATGCAGCAGCGAATGTCTTTTGTTTTAGTGGTGCACGTGAAGTGACCATGCGACGCGCCTCTGGATAAGATAAGTTCTTTACTGTTTTTACATGCAGGATTTCTTTTTCTGTCTGCCATGCAGGGCATTTGCAGGAGTAGGCGGTATGCACGTCTTCGTACCAATACTCCATGCTGTGTGAATTGCACTCAGTACTCTGGTGACCTTCAATTCCACACTGTGCGCATGCACTTTTCCCATGGCATGATGTTTGTGAATGTCCAAGTCGTTGGCATTTGAAGCTGTTTGTTTGTTTTGATTTTTTGGTGCAAGAGCCATATAGGCTAAGCTGCGCCAAAGCAAAAGGTGTAAAATTTTCAAGCAACGCAGCGGATTTGGAACAAACGGGAGAACTGGGCAGCGCAGATAACCTGCTGTAATAACAGATGGCATAGTCAGTTTATTAAATGTCAAAATAAGATGTTTAGTAGAAATGATCTTATCATCTCAATGAATGAAAATGCGCCGGACAGCAGTGACCCCTTGGTCTAAAAGGCCAATCTGAATATCTGATTCGTCTTCTGATATCAGATCGATCTCAGATATCACACCATGTGATGAGTTTAAACTTCCGTGAGTTATGACTGAAACTCCCATATCTCCAAGTCTATTCATTGATAAAAGCTTTGTTGTTTGTTGAGGAGAGGCTGTTTCAACCAGTACCTCAATTTTTGGATTTTTTTTTAAATGTCCTATGGTAGATTCAAATAATTTATGTATCAAAAAGGGAAAACACTTATAGGTTTTTCTCCAGTTGTGTGCACTACTAAGAATGCTGGTTGACTGGATGTCTTCACATTTGTTGTTTCTGGCTTGTCTGGATTTTTGAGAATCCATAATGAAAATTATTTATTCAGCTCCCAGTGACCCTACCCACCATGGGGCCCAACAAGGGAATGCCGTCACATGGGAGACGCCCATAGACCATCACACCAGGGTTTCCCAGGAGCTATACCCTCACAATGCAGTCAAGAAGAGCACATCTTGTCTGACGTGTCCGCCCGGTCTGCATTGATCGGTTGACTCCAAGCCGAGGTCAAGAATGACATAACGACCAGCCGATTGACTCAAACAAAGCCTGATTTGAGCCTCCCGTGTATCCGAAGCAAGGGCCAAAGCAGTGTGTTGGGGACGTTATGTTGCCCCTCAACTACCAGGATCCCCCTTTCCGGCATACGGGGCACCACGCACGGCAAACACGTGGGTGAGTATTCAGATCCTAGGGATGGTAAAGAAAAGTTACCAAACCATCTCTGGGCGGTCCCCTCACCACGGACAAGAACCCACATCAAGAAGCTTTCTAGTAGGGCGTTAGGTGTGAGGTTCGAATGCTGGACTCACCCTCCTGTTTTTCAAAGTAGTTGCTTCGGTCGGGTGGACCTCCTCGGCTGTTATGCATTCTCTTTTCGTATTTTGGTTAGTGGCCTAGATCCCGGTACGGGTATCCTTCGGTCAATCGGCAGCAGTGGTTCTGCTCCATGGTTGCCATCGGCAGTCGGCAACTGGCTTCCATCTTGCCTCCTGTGGCTGCTTCTTTGGCATGACATTAGCAGGCCGCTGCACCTATCTGTGCTGCTTTTGTCCTTCCCCTATTATGTGTCCCTCTTCCCCCTCATCTGGCTCTGTAGAATTTCTTCGTCAGTCCTCAGCCAGATTGAATCTTGCTTCACCCTGATCGACTTAGAATTTTTGACTCTCTTGTCAACTCCATAGCTACTTTCCAAATGTTAGTCAAAATATTCTGAACTTTGCGTTTCATGGTGGTCTTGTCCAACAATCTCTATATTTGGATCCCATTAAATCACTACTTTTTTCATTTGATTGCTTTCATCTGGCCTTTCTGGTCTAGCTTGACTTGTGAAGTTTTACTGGGTTTCCTTCACAAATAAATTTCCAAATGGGATCAAGTTCCCCTGTACAAAGTCCTCCCAGTAGGCACCCTACTGGCGTGTTGCCTCGTTCACCAAGCCAGGCACCCATCCAAAATCTTAAAATTAATTTCAAATTGTTGGACTCGACCAGATGTGGCTTTACCACTGCTACTTTCCTTTCCACAGTGGCTCTGAACAAGCCAGAAAAAGTTAGGTTAGGCTATGTTAGCCACTACACTACAACTTTCCTATCCTACTTTGATAAACTCCTCTTATTTCATGCATCCCCCAGCTCTGGTCATCCATGTTTAAAATCTTTATCTACCAAGATTTGATTTCTGATGGCTTCTGGCAGGGACTCGCTCTCTCGGGCTGGTCACCTCCTCTTGTCAGCTGTCAAATTATACAAAATTAATAATTACAGTATTTAATACTAAAGCAATCACATAAATAAAAATTTTTTTATTAAACTTAACTACCTAGCTATTAGCACAGTTAAAAACTGTTACCATATCCCTTTATATTTTGCAATGCTATGTAATTCAAAGAAGTTTTCAAAATTCCTTGGCCTTAGCTGGGTGATCCCTAGTCACCACATCACTCTCCTATCTAAATTAAGGTGAAAACTATTTACTAACCTTGTAATTACTAACAACCATCATACAAACACACATTTTTAACACTGAATTTAAACTACAAGCAAAGACTCCAAACACCACGTAACAAATATGAGCCCTCAGAAGGGACAAGCTTATAATATTATGAGCCCTCACAAAGGACTAATATAAAACATTATGAGCCCTTTATGGGACAATCACACTTCACACGCTCTGGCCTCTTAGTGCTCTATGAGCAAGAAGGGGTCTTAGTTATTTTAGACCAAACTGATCGCATAAACATAAAAAAACCCACACCAATATGGGTTCCAGTTGGACTTGTCTACCTGCCGCTCACTACATCGTGCGGTTTCTCTGGTTTACCAGAACCACCATCAGGGCCTCCACACGTCGCTCGTTTCGATGGACATTGCGGGGGTTTTTAACAATGTCTGGTGGCCATCCATAGTGCGTGAACTGAGGAAGGCGAACCTGCCGACCACCCTTGTATCACTTACCAGGAGTTTCGTGAGTGACCACAAGGTAATCTACCGAACACCAAGTGCAAACTGTACGAAGGTACTGGAGAGGGGTTGCCCCCAAGGATCCTGTATCAGCCCCTTACTTTAGAACCTTCTAGCCGACACGACACTGCGACTGGTCCTTCCGGACAATGTCCAGTTGCAGGCATATGCAGACGATCTGCTGCTAGTAGTTGCAGGTTACAGCCATAGCGACATGCAGAATCGCGGCAACGAAGCAATAGAACGACTCGTTCGCTGGAGGGAGCTGCATAAGCTCTCGTTCAGCTCTGAGAAATTGGAGGCCCTGACACTGACCCAGACTGGAGTGTTGGCCCACCGACCAGTATACCAGATCCGAAAAAACCCCATCAGAACGGTGAATGAGCTAAAGTACCTCAGCTCAGTGTCATCATCGATCAGACACTATGCTGGATGCCTATCTGAGGAACATTTGTGAAAGAACAAATCTCATGATAGCAACACTATCTAGACAGGATTATGGCCTAGGCAGAGAAGCACGTCAAGCCATCTATAAGATGAGTGTACAGTGCATTATCTGCTACGCATGTGGTGTTTGGTGGAAGAATTCCGCCAATGTCAAGCAGAGCAAGATATTGCTCACAATCCAGTGATCCGCTGCCCTGTGAATCACGAGAGCGTACAGAACTGTGTCTACGGAGGCGGCCGTGGGTCTTGGCTGGGCTGCTTCCGCTGTTCTTGGTGGTCAGCCAAGAGGCGGCCTTCTACAAAACTACAGTGGAAGGAATAGACTATGCATTGTAATCAGAAGTACCTAGTCAGACTTAGGCATCGGGCAGATGTCCTAAAAGTCCATCCGGCCCTTAGGATTGGGCTGGACTGGGATGTCGGTGAACCGACTGGTACCGGTGTTGAAATATACACCAATGGCTCTAAAGATGGCAGCTTAGTAGGTGCCACGTTCTGAGTCTACTGTGACGGAGTGCATGTGTACGAACAGTCAGTCAGAATGAATGAAAAAGCATTCGTGTTCCAGGCAGAGCTGGTGGACCTGGAGGGAGCATCCCAGTGGATCTTGCTACAACCAGGTCCTGAGCCAGTCACAGTTTACTCCGATAGTCAGTCATCGCTACAAGCCTTGAGCAATGAGTACCATTGCGATTCGCTAATACTAGAGATCAAAAGTAGAGTGCTGAGGGCGAAGCACGAGCAACATGTTGCCCTGCAGTGGGTCCGAAGCGACATTGGGATCCTGGGTAACAAACGTGCCGATCAGCTGGCAAAGGCGGGAGCCAGCAGTCCTTTTTTAACAAGGATGGCAGAACCCTCGACCACATACATTGAAGGTACTTTGCTAAAACAATCAATGTCTTACTGGCAAGAGTGCTGGACTCAAACTACAGTGGGAAGGTCAACCTATGCCTTTGTGCCTGTAGTTGGCCTCACTCCGGTGTGTTGCAACTGGCTTACGACCCAAATACTGACCAGCCACAGGAAGTTTCCCCACTTCAAGTCCAAATTCAGACAAGGAGATAGTAGCTGCTCCTATGGATGTCCTCGCAGCAACATGAGACACTATGTACTTGACTGTCGTCTAACCAAGGATTTCCGTCGAGGGGCCAACCGAGTCGACTGGTCTAGGCCGCCTGAACAAGTACTTCAAGTGCTTGCAACTAGTAAAATAAACTTAAAAAAAACTAAAGGATTTGATGGAAAGTATTATAGATCTGTTTAATCTATAAGCCTAGTAGACACGCTAGGCTGGGCCTCCTCATCTTGTAGGAAAGGGGACCCCGCTGTCCATTATAATATTTGTTGAGCAAAGTGAGCTGAAGGTTGTTTGTGGACCATAGTGCAAAACAGGCTGCACATTATAAAAGTTATGCCAAGTTAGAGGGCTGGATCTGGATGCAGATGGGAGCCGAAAGAATGTACCATGTGGCCCAGCTATGTCGTCCCTGTCTACCACGTCAGGTATCCAACCGAGCCAATGAATAAGGCATATTTTCTTTAACCCTGTAGCGCCAATAGGCAGGGCAGGGAAGGAGTTCCTTATGAGGCATGGTGATGAATTTCTGCAAAGTGCTGTCTGCAGACGTAACCTGAAGTGAATTCCTTACAAAATTGCTATAAGCTAAGCTAAGCTAAGGTCGACATTTATCACAGCAGTTGACCAAGGTGATATGCTATCAACCTCGGACCTGTGAAATGTTGCTTGTGTCCAGGTCAATCGTACTGCTTACGTTCTCCATTCTTATGTGGAATGTAGGGACACTACTTGGGTGAGCATCAAATAACCTTTTCAGCTGTGTACATGTTACTGTAGAATAAACGAAAAGTTTGATCCAAGATTTCTGCTTAATATAAAAAAAGACAACTATTCTCTCCTGAGAGATAGAGGTGGTTCATACTGAACCACATACAGGCTTTGAACAGGAGAAGTTCTTGAATATGGTATGAAGGAATAACTCAATTACCAGCAGATGTCGATTTGAAAAAAATTAAGTTTGATTCAATTGTTTCTGCAGAAAATGTAGAAACGAACAAAGAAAAATAAATTTGGATTTACTATAACAGATACATAAGGTGCGTTGTGTGGGTAGCCAGAGGCAAGGCAGATGTCTTGCCCCTTTCTTGGCAACAGTTTGGTGAAAACTGCCCACTTGTCAGTGGCTGGCTGGTTTACATTTTATGATCCTAAGGGGTCAGGATTCTTTTTGTCAGGTTGAGTGGATATATGGATGTAAGCCATTCAGTATGTTGGAGAAATTGCAGGTAGGTTGTTAACACTTTGGTGTGGACTGTAGTGTTTGGCTTGAGAAAGTAAGTCAGGTGATTAAATGTTGTCTAAAGCAAAGGTTACTTTAGCAGGTGTTTAGGTCATAGGTGTCACTGGGACCATAATAAAGTGAAGAAATCAAACGATAACTGTAAACTTATATCTTGCAATATTAGCTTGATGATGTTTAGTTGAGTGACTGCTTACAATCTTAAAGGAAGTTTATATATTCCTATAGTTGTTGATGGGATATTTAATCTTCTTTCCCTGCCAATGTTGTTTTAATGAGTCAGAAAAAAAATATGAACTGAAATATTTCAGATATTAGAGGACGAAGAAAATAAGATGTTTCGAAAATCCAGATCTCACATTCACTCCATGCTTTCTTTAAAATTGCACTTAGATGATAGTATGACTTTAATAAATTTTGTTGAATATATCATTATACACGTAGATATATCAGAGTATGAAAAACTTTGTTAATTAAATTCGCAGGTAGAGGTATGATTACATAAGAAATGTGTCGAAAGTTTTGTTTCATTTTTTTCTCTCTCTCTCGAAAGCACTTTCATCATTCATTGCTTACATTCTCTCATCAACACAATGAAAATATTCAAGGTGAAAATTAATACTATAAATAAACATCTACAAACAAATCCCAGCTCATGTCTGACTTGCAACAATATTTATGGCTTTGGAATTAGAAAACAGGCTCATCTTGGGTTTCTCAGCAGTGGTCAGTTGATTGGTTGGTTGAAGTTCTAGTTGATCTGGATACGAGGGTAACAAAGTTCGTGATGAGTCAAGAATGTCCATTAGAATTCCTTTGTTCTGGTCAGCTGAATGGTTCGTTGGATGATGTCTACCATTGGATATATGGATGCAAGCTGTTCAAGATGTTAGAGAAATTGCAGGTAGGTTGCTGACACTTTGGTGTGAGCTATAGTGTTAAGCCCTGGTCACACCATGCAATTTCCTGTTGTGCATGTCTTCTCGTGGTCACACATTTTCGCTGGTGTTGAAACTCGGAAACACATGACCCTATAATAAACCAATAAATTTATAGTAGCTTGCTTTTGATTACTTTTGTGAGTTTACCAACATTTTACATTCCACTTCAGATTGTTTATGGAATTTTAGCCACTTTTCTTATTAAAATGGCAAGCAGTTCCTTTTATGGAATGAATAAAAGAAAAATGCCAATAATTTTGTTAGAGCTGGCGAGAATATATTTAAAAGAAATGTTCATGCTGGGTTAAAACTTGGCGAAATGAAAATCAATGAGCTAAACAAGCTTGCTTTCACGAGCTGATGAATAAATTAAGGCTTTTGGATGCCAAAGGTTATAGGGCAGTGTTTTTCAACCGGGGTGCCACGGCGCCACGATTGGGGTGTCGCAAAGTTTAAAGCCTTTAGGCATTTTCTCGGAAATTTACTTAAGTGTAGTTCAAGATAACTCATTGTCAGTTCTATTTTGCTATGAGATATCTAGTAAGCAAAGAAACTATGACTAATCGCATGTTAACGTAATGTTCTACACTATGTGTACGCATGACTTGTCACGAGTTCGCCCAAACCACATTGCTTGGCCTTCACGTTCCCAGTCCCAGTACCAGGCCAACCACCAGAGAAGAACAACGTAGACACTTGTGTCTTGTATATACTTTAAAACGCATTGCATTGTACTTTGAAAAGCACATGGTTTCAATCACAAAGTAAGTGCATATTACAGTATTTTCATAGTATTCAAAAGCAATGATGACAAATAAACAATTTTTTATTGTTTTTTTAAATTTAAATTTTCTAAATTGATATGAAAAAGATAAGAAAAAAGTAATTAAATATTTATTTATATATGCATCAAAATAGTATAAAAAATGTAACAAAAATTGTTTATCAATAAAGTAATAATATAAAATGATGATATATTTAATAATAAAACTATATTTAAAAAACAATAGTGAGACTATTATTTTACATGTAGGTATTTCGACAAAATTCAATGTAACTTAAATTTTCATTTTGAACACGTAGAAACACTTTTGCGTTGCGCGTAATATTCGTTTTTGCAAAAAATTCGTCTGGCCCATTAGTTCCCCCCTTATTCAGATTCTAGATCTGCCGCTGGTCAAGGGTGTCACGATTTCTTATTTTTCAATTAGGTGTGCCACTCAATGAAAAAGGTTGAAAAACACTGTTATAGGGGATATATCGATAAGGATACGAATACTTTCCAAAGTATTTTAATAAGGATAACACCCATAATAGCTAAAGAAGATACACATCTTTGAAGTTCTATTTCACCTGAAAAACGTCTTTCGTTGACACTTCATTATTTAGCCACTTGTAAAAATAATATATATTTTGTATTTAATTTATATTTTATGCAATCTTTAATATTAAAATGGCCATATATAACGTAGGAGAAATGTTTCGTAGTTTGGCATACCAATTTAGAGTGGCCCATCATTCGATATCAGTCATTATCCCAGAAGTTTTGGATGCTATTTATCAATCTTATAAAAGTGAATATTTGAGG